GTTCAACACATGTATGGGCTACTAATAATAGCAAAAGCAACAAGTTCAGTAATGTCGCTTGTTTTAAAAAGGTGCAACAAATACCAATTGTTAACACCATCGCTCTTGAAAAAGATGTCAAAAAAGGTTATCCCGACCTCTACTCTCGCCAGATGATCAAGCGAAACGTACATTTCGACGTCCTTTCAATAAAAGCGCATAAAAATTAGGTCACCAGCTGAACACCAAAAAAGTTTTTTCCAATTGCCTCCCGTCAGACCATGTCCTGCAGAATAATGTAATAGAACCATGCTGCCCTCCTGCCCCATTGACCTTTAATCTGTGACCCTACCAAATTTGCAGCACAGTGATGGCTTTTCCTCACCCAATGATGCTATACACACCTCAGACAATCACGAGGGCCTTACGGTCGACGCCGTTTTAGATTTGTGCCGGGCAAATTCTGCATTTCCTGCAAACCCCGATAAACCATTAAGTTAAGGAGGGAATGTTCCCATCCCAGTCTTTTACCACTCAATGACCTTCGACCCTTTGAAACCCACACCCCAGCTTCCAACATCTCCAACTCGTTTTCGGGATTAACCCCACCCACCCACCTCCCACGTAGCCCAGGAAATAATTGAATTGACCACAAACAAAGTGACCGTACGTCGAGCGGTTAAGATTTGTGCCCAACTGTTAATAGACGCACGGACGGCCGGACAGACGGACGCACGGACAATCATGCGATTCTACAAGCTGCACCTGACTACGTCAGATGAGCTAAAAACTGAAAATAATATGAACGCACATTCACAAATACTACTTCTCAATTACACTTCCACTGTTGTGTCACTGTATATCAACTTTCTTTCACAAAAACTAATGCAGAACGCTCCCGCACTCGCCGCTGCGAGTGTGCTGTGTCGCCATTATAATGAATATATATCGAGTATATTATTTTATTTTGTTGTTATATATATTATTATTAGTTCACATTATTTTCAGTTTTTACTGACTCTGTCCCAAGTGCCTGTGTATCTGTGTGTGCTTGCGGGGTGGGGTAGGTGGAGGCATTCCTACATGCTATAGAAGAAGAGTTACTGTGAGCTGGCATTGATGGGGAATAATGGGATGATAACTGGAGCGACTGATGGGGAATAATGCGATGATTTCTGGAATGATTGACTCATACATTTAGAGAGCGACGATGGTGACGAGAAAAGATTGCTTTTTCAAAATAATTTCCTCGCCGCTAACGACCACTTACACGCACTGACTAATAATTTCACACTGCAGGCTGCGCTAACTTCCACGCTGGTTATATATATTCCACGCTCTACTCTCGTCTAAATTAGAAAACATGATTGGTGCAAGCCATCCTTAATACACCTCTAGTCCGAAGTAACTGGATCGGTACTTCAAGGCTGGTATTACAGTTACACACGCACGCACGCACACACAGCACACACACGCGCGTGCGTGTGGGTGCGAAATCCCCGCGCAAAAACTATGTAAAGTGAATATAATAGGTTCATTAGAGATGTACATAGCAAGTGGCAAATGACTACCCACAGTACCCAGTTTAAACCAACTTTTCACACAGCCCCCTCTATACGCGTACACCCCCTATACCCATTCATCACACGCATGCATATATGCAAACTCGCATACCTTTATTGGAGAGATGCCTCAAAATAGCCTCGCTGCCCGGTCTAGTCTCGGCTGAGACAACCCCTGACTCAATGTCTCGCAGTATGAGCTTTCCCGTCTGGAATCCATCTGACATGGTGTCGAGAATAACTCCTGTGGGTCCACGCTTCACCCAGCCGCTACAGTAGAGACCTGTGATGTTAATATAGGTATTTATAGATAGATAGATAGATAGATAATAGGTTTATTGCAAAACTAGTATTAACAACGTTACAATTAAAATAAATTTTGCAAACACGATTTCATCAGGCAGAATAAAACTGAAATTGATGATATTTACAAAAATTTATGTCCCATGGTGAGACATAGATATCACTTAAAATACTGGTTCATAAAATTATATCACTACAACTAAAATCATCTTTAATAATATATACAATATTTAAAATAACGTGATCCTTAGTCAAAAATAGTTAGAATTAAAAGGCAACACAACGATAGAATCAAACATATCACATAACCGAAAGTTTTACACATGGAGGAACAGAGAGCATGGATCTGCTTTACAGGACACATCCCCACTCTAGACAAGAACATGGGAAGCAAACATGCGTATGTGTGCGTGCGTGCGTGTGTGCGTGCGTGCGTGCGTGCGTGCGTGCGTGCGTGCGTGCGTGCGTGCG